AACAAAATCCCACATTTTCTATGGCAATCCTACCCAAAAAGCAGCTTTAACATGGGAGAGGATCTACTCTGTGATGAGACACCCGCCAGTCACGACACGGAACAAGAGGAAGGGCATCGCAGAGGCAATTAGGGAAGGAAGGTCCCAGTAAGACAGGAACACCACAAGTTCTCATCTCGATATGGCTTTGTGGACATCCTTCCATCTGAATGAGGATGCTACAATATCATCATGAACCTGGTTCTGAATGCTCCAGTAGAAAAAAACACAAATATTCTTAAGTATTCTCTGTCTATCTTTATTTCTGCACGGTTAGCATTATGTATACGACAAAGGACAGAGCGGAACACCAAATGCTGCTAAAACACGTTCTAAAAATCAGATCTTGATCCTTGCTTCTTACAATGAACAGTCTGGAGCCTTTCATTTGAGTCCAGACGACACTATCCGAGTGGAGAATCCACTTTCTCACTAGGCCAGTCATCTCGTGTTTGAATTGATTCCACCCAAAATGGCTGCAAAAAGATGACTAGAAGAATTTACCGATTTGTGGACCGTGCCGGATTGCATATTTTATTTCATAAAAGAAGTATAGTAGTTCCATATACTGCAATAGTCTTCCTAGAAATACATCTGATGTCAAATAAGAAATGAATGTAGACCAAATTCAGAATCATAGAAAAAAAATAAGACAGTTGCAACTATTAAAACTATTAAACAACAAATCACTTCTGGGTTTGTTTTGTGAGAGGGTTTCTTTGTTTTTGTTTCTATTCTTATAAATAGATTTTTTTTTTAATAAATGGAGAATCACATAATTGCCCAAGGCCTTGCTTCTTGCAGCTAAAACACCTGATGCTGGTTACTCTTAGACATCAGAGAAGACAGAACATTTCAACGCACTGAAGGCTTCCAGTGTCTTCACCAGGCCCTGCAAAATGTCAAACAGGAACTCCTGAGCAAGTTGTATGTGTCGCTGAGCTACCAGCCTGGAGTCAGGTCTGTAGGTTTGGGTGGTCAGTGTTCTGCTAACTGCCTGCCTCTCTTTGCTCAGAATAACTTGCATTTTCAATGAACACTTTCCATCTCCACAAGCTACACTCCAGGCCTGGATCAGCAAAGCCCATTGGTTGAGCAAAAGATGGAGTTATATCTAGCAGAGAACCCCCATTTCCAGAAGAATCTGAGGGTTTTTGTTTGATGGTTTTTTGTTTGTTTGTTTTTTAAATTTTGGTTTGGTTTTTGTTTTTTCTTTTAGAAAGTGAGTTAGTTTAGTTTTTAATCCATGCAAACTATGAAGATCACCTAAATATGACCCGGCTATGAACTGAGGTAGTATGACACTGGGAGGTTTGTCTGGGGGTGGCGGCACCCATGCTGCTTTTAGGAAGGAAAGCAGGGTAGGATTCTCTGAAGGTTCTTTGAGCCTTTTACCTGCTGGAAGATGAGTATCAGTGAGATGACATGTTAAAGCACGCATGGCAAGAGGATATCTATGCAGCAGTATAGATATAATCCATACACGAGTGTTTGTCTTTTGCAGCACGAGGGTTAAATTCAGGCAGGTGGATGTCTGGTAAGCAGCACAAACCCACCTCCTGCATGTCCCAACCACGCAGCTTTCCAAGCCCAAAAAGCCAGTTGTGTCAAGGTGGCTGGAAGCCTCGAGAGCCTCTGAGGCAACTCGGCAGGTGCTTGCAAGCAGCACCACCTGAGAGGTCACACAGAGGTTTTGTTGGCAGTTTTCTTCATAACAGCTGTAAGCCATGATCCAGAAACACTCATGCACTCTGTCTCTGTCATGCCCTTTCTGTCACCATACAATCGGGATCTTTACATCAGACAAGGCTATCAACTTCTTGCAGCAAGGCAGTCGGATCTCAGAAACTGAGCCAGCACCTCCCCATGATTAGCATCACTGAGATTACCCCACATGAACCACTATGCAGGAGTCATATTTGGGCTTGGCGTTCAGCCACTGCCTTCATACCATCAGCAGATACCTTGCCACCAGGACAAATCACAGCTACTATGCACATGCAGCTTTTATTACACAGTATTTTATTGTCCCATTACTTTATCAGGGAACCTGCCAAGGCTGCACTGCATTCCTAAGTCCTACAGGGTTGAAAAAACAAAGAAAAAAACCCAAAAAACCCCAAACACAAATAGTTGTTGCTGACCACAACCAGCAACTACACACCACAGGACTCTGGTTACCAAAAGCACACACTCTACACAACGAATGGTATCTAAAATCTACCCTGCAGGAAGAAAGTTCCTGTTCTTTCGGTATTGACTTCCTGAATATTTATTTCCTTAGCAGCCTCAGACTGCTTCAGAACCAGTTTTCACAACAAAAGACAAGGAGGTCACCGACTTCTCAGAACAGCTCTGAACACAAAGACGGCGGGATTACATCAGTGCTCATCTTGGCAAAGATTCTGTGCGCACCATTACATAGGGATTATCCACTCTGGTAACCCTGTGCCAGCATTTGAGCCCATACACTTTCAATAATGAGTTTCTCATCACAGTTTTATCCAGTTTTTGTCTCAATTATTTTTCTTGTTCTCATCAGAGAGCATGAAGGAATTACGGGTTACTTGAGATCCCATTATATGGGAAGAGTGTGGTACAAAAACAAAGTGCAAGCAAAAATATCGGTCGTTGTAAATAGATGTCAGAAAAAATATCTCCTTAAGGAGAGCATTGTTATAGTTTGGTCAATTTTAAAAACTGTTTCCACAAAGTAGATCCCACAGAAGAAAAGGAATTAATACTAGTTTTGATAGTTCTCAGTTAAAGGACAGAGTTTAACAAAACCCATGAGGTACCTTCTCCAGGTTTCACTACATACCGAATGTCCTGAGAAACCATGTTCTGCATGCAAATCTTGTGTACCCCCAAAGCTCACATTAGCAAGTACCCCACAGCTCTAATTCCTTAACTTCGAGCCTCTCTGGACAATGTGTGTCATTTGTTTTCTGTGTATTGACGTAAGAGGGTAGACTCAAAAGTTATGTCACTATAAAGACAACAATCTTTAAAATCAGCCCTGTAAACTTAAATTCTTGTTATTATCTAGCAATGAAACCTGTATTTGCAAATGAAGGCTGAAGAATGTAACCATATTATCGTTGTTACATGACTTCTTTTTTCTTAGTGGCAAAAGAAAGGTAGCAATTACAATAAACTATGTGTCAAGGTCTGTGATTTCATTTATGCAAACTACGCAGCTAAATCCTTTCTTTTTAGAAGATCCCCAGGAAACTGTAAAACCTAGATTTATCAGAATATAAAGCATTTGGCAGGTTCAAGGAAACCTCTAATTTACTTGGAAAGCTTCGGAATTATTTTTGTTTCTGTTCTGATATTCTACAAAGCACAGCAGTATCCCAGGTGTTAAACCACAAAGTGTTGTTAAAAGGGCACAAGGAAACAGACAAAAGAAAAGAATCCATAAAGACCAACAAAACCAACAAGGACAGATTACTCCTTTCTTAGGCTCGATAGTTACGAGAGGCAGGGTGTGTGGAGTAGCACCCCTTAATATGCTCTGGTCAGATCTGCCAGTATCAGTCGCCCAGCACAGGGCTCGAAGGGTTGAGATACTGAACTACACCCCAGCCGAAACCAGGATGCTCCATATCACATTACTTGTTAGCGGTAGGCCAGTCCGTATTAGCCACATCGGCTCTGACCTCCAGCTGCTCACCCAGTTCCTCTCTGCAGGTCGCCCACAGCTCCAGTACAACCCAAAGGCGCCAGCACACCTAAAACCCCCACCACCAAGCATAGTGGTGATGACGCACCAGCAGATAGAGATGGAGGTGTGGGTATCGGTGTGCACCCTCCTGTGTACAGTGCCGGGGGTCGCGCTGGGGTAACACCCACCAGCCAAAAGAAGTGTCGAAGCACGGGGCAGAAGTAATGAGCAAACCAGGTAGAGGACCTCAGCTAGGTCTAGCACCAGCCTTTTCTTCACTGCTTACAAATGTCGTGGAGTCTGTTCTCCAGCTGTGTGGCTTGTTGCAGGCTTTGACCTGTCCTGAAGGTACACACAGTCAGAAACTTTCACAGACGCTTCATTTCGTCACTTTAATTCCTCTTTAACATCAATCGGCAAGAAATTCTCTATGTTGCTTTCAGGACCCTAGCAGGCAAGAGCAGACTGGCACATTGTTTCAGCTTTGAGTAACACAGTAAAATCTGGTCAATTGATCACCCCAGAGGAACTGATGATACAAAATAATTATCCATCAGTAATTTAACTGCACCCAGGCACGAAAGTTTTACAGATGTAATTTCATTCCATGTTGAGGCAAAGTAGAAGTTCATTCTCAAAATCTGTAATACAGTGTTTCTGTCCTTATGAAATCCTGTGTGTGATTTGCACACAATCTAGTACATGGTATAGTTATACAGATCAATGTTTATGGCCCACCTTGCTAAAAAATAATGCAGAGCACTCCCTACGTAAAAACAACTGCTCACAAAGGAGGAGTGAAATTATCAGAAATTTTTTCTTTCTCTTCATAGACACAGTCATCACCAAAACAGAAAAAATGGGCCAAGTGGAAGAATTGATCACTTGTACCTTTCAGAAGCAAAGAAAGCTGAAAACTATACAAAGATTTGAGACTATAAGCTACCTTGCAAACGCTATGGAATACAACCAGACCACTCCATCACAGGCATTACTGTTGTTACTACCGTAATTTAAGGTTTTTTGCACTGTTACAATAGTTTCATCCAAGTGGATAAAGCACTAAGATTTGATGTTTAAAGACTTGCACTTCAAAGAGGAATGAGGAGTTCACATGTACTAGAAAAGCAGAGTAATTTAGGGCTATTACAACACCTCCTTTAAAGAAATAATCAGCAACGACTTTAGTTTCAACAAATCGCTGGACTGCCATCAAAATATCCGATTTAAAAATGTATCTCAGTCTAAACAGCTTCGAAGTTTTTGGAAAAATAAAATGTTGAATTTCCTTTCATTCTGATCCACTGTTTGGCCTCCTCTTCAGCTTAATCCAGATACCATTATTTGGACGAAGAATAAGTTCTCCAGTCATACCAAGCTCTTCGGGCTTTTGACATGACTCCACCCAAAAGCGCCGCAGGATGAGGGCTAGAAGAGTTTTCTCCTCTATTTGTGCAAAGCGCTGACCTATGAGTTACAGGGCAGAAAAAAAAAAAAGTTATTGTCAGGTTGCATCAACAGTTGCTGCATTTCCATGCTCAGAGTGATACCTCTAGGAACACATGACAGCAAGGACAGGATACTACTGAAACTAGCACTTCTCCTTGCATGACAACTCTGGCCTTCCCAGGACAATCCACAGCACATCCTCCTTCCCATAGCACACAGAACTCAAACAGCAAACAGTCAACACCAAGGGGCAACAGACACAAACTGAAGCACAGGAAGTTCCAGCTGAACATGAGGAAGGACTTCTTCACTCTGAGGGTGATGGAGCCCTGGAACAGGCTGCCCAGGGAGGTTGTGGAGTCTCCTTCTCTGGAGAAGATGGACCAGATGACCCACAGAGGTCCCTTCCAACCCCGAACACTCTGTGATTTTGTGAACACTTTACATGTAACTAATACAAAACACAGCCTTGTCATGTCTCTTGGATGAACTAGGCAGGGAGGGATGGATGACAGACCAGAGCAGGAGAAGATGCAGCACAGGGACCGCAATGGAGAGACAAATCCCACTGTTCTACACATGCAGAGAGGAGCAAAGGAGATACAACTGCAACAGAAGGACAGACAGACCTTCCGTCAACGAGCACTAAGCATCACACACCCTGACGATTTGGCAGCACAGAGGGCAAAGTTCAATTTATATCTCAGAGAAAGGTGGAAGAGGAAAGGGGATAACAGAGAAACACGAAGGAAACCAAATCAAGTGTCACAATCCAGGCAGTTCACTCAAACTAAACTGAAAATGGCAACAGGACGAAAAACCCAGTGCTCAAAACTTTTTCTGTGCTCCCCTCTGTATAATCTGCACAGAGGGATGTCTGTACACATGTACACAGTGATGTCTTTCTGCAGTGATATTAACAAACCAGCTCTCCTGCACATGCTCCTGCACACCCAGGAACTAGCTAGACACGCAGTATTAAGTTAGTTTCCTCTTTGGAACGTGGGAAGACCTAGTCTGCTGTTCTTATGGGAAGGGCACCTATCCCAATGAGGCAAATCAAAACCAAACAAATAAAAAACCAACCCCACCCCCCAAAAAAAGAAAACGAACCAAACCAAAACCCCAGAAGAAGTTGTCTTTCCTGTCCCTGTAACTGGTGTGGAACGGTCCCCATCTGCCCTTGAGATCAGCGCAGGGAACAGCCTTTTCATGCGTCCTACCACATAAACCACAAAGCCTCTCCTTTGAGCACAGATTCGTCTCAGTGGCACCTGCAGGGCTAACAAGTTCTGGGATGACAGTGAAAACACCAGATCAACAACGGTGCCACAAAGAGGGAAAGAACACATCAGCTGCAGACTGCATGTTCGGGACACCCAGCCGAGATCGTGAGACAGACAGATGAGATGTTTCCACAGAAAGACAAGTGCAGGACATTTGCCTTCTCTCACTCTGTCTTGCTGACACTGAGGGTCAGAAATCTGGAAGCAATCCTGTCCTAACACAGGAGCCCATTAACACGCTGCAAGGCTGCGCAGGCAGCGAGGAGCAAACACCAGCGTGATAGACATTGGCCCCTGGGAAGGAAGGCACTCTTTACGAAGAAACAAAAGGTGGCAGTTCAAGCACCAGGCTTGCAGGGGAGACAGCGCCCAGAATTCGGGGGTGGGGAATACAGGACACGACTAGCAGGCACATCAAGACTTAAATTTCTGAGACAGTCATCACACCAAAAGCAGCACTGTCCCATTAGTGGGGCTTCCTCTCCAGCCACCTACCAATGCAGTTCCTAGGACCAGCCGAGAAGGGCACGTAAGCATATGGGTGCCTTCCCTTCGAATTTTCAGGTAAGAATCGCTCAGGCCTGAACTCCTCCGGGTCAGGGAAGATCTCGGGGTCTCTGTGCAGGGCGTAAGTTATGACAACAACATTGGTGCCTTTTGGTACCTTGTATCCTTCTGAAGAGGAATGAAAAAGGGAGAAGAAGGGTCAAAACAACAGCGAATAAGTGACTTTCTATACACCACAGCACAGTAAGAAAATAAAACAACTCTGCCCTTGACTTGGGAAACCCCTCCACTGAGGAGATGCTAGCAGGATAGGAACTGGCAAACACAGGACACTACTTACTAATACAGCAATCCTCTCTCAAGGTACGGGCAAACAGCGGAACTGAAGGGAAGAGCCGAAGTGCTTCTTTCACAACACACTCCAGGTACTGAAGGTTCTTCAAATCGTCCATTGTAACAGGACGCTCAGTGTCGCCTGTCCAGAAACGAATAGCGGGATGAGCAAGACCAAAACTCCCCATTTTCAGTTAAACAAACTCATCCCAGCTCCTTTCAGAAACTCTCCTCACGTACCAAGACGACACAGGAGAAAGCGTTACACATACATTGAACATGCATGCCTTGCCCCAGAGAAGTAAGGTTGGCTGTGCTCTTCTACAGACCTTCTAGCACCCGTCCCAATCACCTCGAGCCACTGAAAGCTCCAGAAGGGCCACAAGGCATGTTCCTACCTCCCCTTCTACATCTAGGCTTATAATGTACCACATGCCCACTCACAAATGCAACCACCGCCACAACCCCAATGAAGGTGGGAACGCAAACGTACCAAACACCTCGTCCAGTTCTCTGTGAACCTTCTTCTGGGCTTCAGGATTATGTCCAAGCAAGTAGAGGGCCCAGTTCATAGCAGCTGCTGTTGTATCATGGCCCTAGAGGTCCAGATTTACAAAGACATTCACTTCAACACTATCCCTGTGCACAAGCAGGCTTCGTAAATACTTAGATGTGCAGGTAGGATGGAAAGTGAGGCTTATTAGTCCCATGACCACAAGAAAAATGAAAATCAAGAGTGAAGAAATCTATCCAACACACTGATTATCAAGATATACGATGACCCATGATTCTGTCAGGTATCTGAAAACTGACCAAAAGGGAAAAAGTGTTGAAATAACCCAAGCAAACATCCCTCTCCTCTGCCTCCCTGAAGCTGCACGAACTATCAAGTATCTACACAATGAAACAGAGGTATATTCATCTTTTTGGTTACTGTTCACTCAATAATGTAACATCTGGGGGCCAATAACTACCACACAATCTGTAACCTTTACAAAACTATCCAAAAAAAGGGTCTAATGAGACACAGTATATTTGCCATAGGAGGGAATACTTCCTGGTTTGCTATGAAAACAGGATTAGCTACTACAGTTCTCAGCTCTGTATACAAACTTTGAAAGGCAAGGAAACAAAGCGAAGGGGAACCCCCCCACCCTAAAAAAAAAAAAAAAAAAAAAAAAGAATATTCTTATTTCCCAGAGAGAGAGAGAGAGGAACAGAGAAAGGAAAAGTTGACTAACAAAGGATTTTGGTACTAAAATGGTGCACTTGCGAAGTTCAGGATGCTGCACCTCTTCAAAACCCAGCTACAGAGTAGTAGAGGAATGGTAAGATGGGAAGAGAGTTTCTCTAGGTTACAAAGACAGTAATCTGCCTGAATTAAGCTCTTCTGAGATCGAATTCAGGTCCACCTAATGGAAGTGTGTGGAAAACTTTTGAAAGTCTTGTTTAGATTCTTCACTAGACAGGGAACCAGACATGAGAAGACAGTACACCAATGCACAGTTGACAACAGAACCAGGAGGTTACAGCCAACGTGACAAAGGACTAACTGTGAGGAGAGCTCACAAAACGCAAGGCAAAATACCTAAACCATTTAGAGCTATTTTGAGCATTAATGAGGTTTGCAACAGGAGTCGAGAGACCATGGCCCACATCAGCCATTAAGCTCTTCTTACTCACCTGTTTTCACAAGTAGAGCCTGCTCGCATAGGCAGGACCTGCCACACATCTACTGACCAGCATTTTGCCAGGGCACACAATTCTGGATCAAAGGTTTCTATCCTGCAGTAGTTTCTATCCTACAGAGATTTCCTCTTAGACTTCCAGGGCTAAAATAACTTCATATTAACAGCAATTTCCTGGACTAAGCAGAGGAAGAGTCACTACCTGCAAACAGTGAATCTTAGGTTCTGGAAAAAAAATAAAAACAACAAAAAAAAAAACAACAAACCAACGGGTTCCTTGGGTACCTCAAACATGAAAGTATCTACTTCCTCACGAATGTCCCTGTAGCTCAATTTGTTCCCTGCCTCATCTGTTGCACTCAGCAGCATGTCCAGGAAAGCTTTTCTCTTTTTGGAGCCACTTTCTTCACCGTTGCCATCAGTTCCATGCTCCGTTTGCTTGGTGTTTTCAAGTTCTGCAGCTTTCTCTGCAATGACCTGAGATTAGAACCATTACATTAGATATGATGCATGCAGCACATGCACACAGTCTACATCACACAGGTTTGTCCCAGCTTATGAAAGCAGCCCATCTGTAGCAATCTACATTAGCTGCTTAGCATAGCTGTCAGCATTATCTCATGAACTTTAACTGTCCTTTGGTGTTAGTGGGTGAAATATGACCAGCCCCTCTTGTCGCAAGCAATAGAATGAACTGTGAATAGCCTTTGTGTGATCAAGAAAACAGCTAGCCAAACTACACAAACAACTTGTTGATCATCAAGAAGCGTAAACACATCCAGAATATCTGCAACAAGCCAATCATGAGTGCCAAGAATAGTAACAGCAAACCAAAAAACATCACCACAATTAGAACAGACTGATCACTGAGTAGATATTCTCTACCCTATCCAATCACTAAGCAAAGGATCACCTCTCCAACCTCCGGGGAACCCAGGAGACTGAAGAGAAGCCACGGCACCCCACAACCCTGCATCGGGACTACACACAGCACGGCTGGAACCACTTTACTAAAGCTTCCCAAATTTTCTGCAGTATGACAGCAACGGTTGAACTTCCCTTTTTTAGGGTCAAAGCACAGCCCCAGTGACAGACAAGCGACTTCTTGTTGTCATGACCGTTGCCATAACAGGAAAACAGAACCCTTCAATAAACTGGTATTGCTCTCCACAACAACAAAATAACTAAAAATAAAGGCTGTGGAGTATGCAATTCTGTTCAGAGGAAGCACTGAATAGGAAAAAATACAGTTATATAGGCACATATTGTTTCCCCTCACTGAACATACAAATATAAAGACACATAGATTCTGAAACACCTTTTTTTCTCAGTGCTTTCTGTCAGCACCTGAACTAGGTGATATTATTATTTACTGTTCCTTTGTCATCTTCTAAGATTTGTTTTCTTCTATTGAGTGCACCAGCCCAGCATGGGAAGAGAGCAAGTGTTACCTTAGGTCCCTTTAAAAGTTTCTCTTGCGTCTCACTGCTACAATTCCCAATAACAGCAAGAAAAACATGAACTACTTAAGAACAGCACAGAGTCAATGTAGCTCATTACATGTAGTGAAAGTGTAGAGATTATGTCCTTTGTCGTGGGCATTGACACAATGACATCGTGGGGTACATACATCTATTTCAGGGAAAGCAGCCTCTCTGGTAAGATCCTAACAGTAGATTTGGGAGGGCAACCATTGCAAGAATAGCATGGGAACTATTTGGTGAGAGAAAGGGCTGTCACTTGCACAGTCTAAAATGGTGAGAGAACACTGCGTTTTCTGCCAAGTCAGTGACGCATGTTTAATGGTTTCTGCGTCGAGTGTCTCACAAATGATGCGGGGACCTGCATGTGTTTGTTCATCTCAGCAGTTCTGCTCCAAATAGCAGAAAACAAATACAGGCTTCAATTTCTGAGGTCTGGACCCAGCTGCATGACCAAGCAGAGCCCTGTGCTTACTGCTACAACCTGAACCGCCTGCAGTGGCTCACTGTCCAGATGTGGAGCATCTGGGCAGAACAAGAGTTCAATGAATCCCTGTTGCTTGTTCTGGTTGTAAAGGACCCACAAGTCTTGTAACTCCCTTGGAGCAGCACACTCCTTTGCTTAAATATGACAAAGCTCCTGACAGGGAAGGCAGCTGCTGTCTTCTTTTCAGAGGATGCCCCAGCATCCCTACAGAGAGATAGTTAGAAAGTTCTCCTCTTAACAGATGCATATCAAGGGGGCTGAACCTCACCCCCATTTGGAAGCTCTCTGCTGAGTGCAAGACTTCAACAACTAAAATGTACCATAAATAAATTAATAAATAAATACAGAAATAAAAATAACTTATACTGTATCTGTAAAATTGTGAAGGATCTTGAGGTTCCTCTCATGCTCTCTTCCTTCCTTGAACAGCATATGTACAAGATCAGGCCAAAGCCAAGGGCTCTTCTGTCGCTGTTGGATTAGATCACTCATCCTAGGGGCATAACAACTACATCATGGAACACTTCTTGACAAACAACAAATTTACACCACATTTTCAAGAACCAAAGAAAAAAGTGCTACCTCCCCCAGTGAAGTGGAACTTGGCATATTGTGCGGGTTTAAACCCATCCATCTGAAGGGAAGGCTGTTCATATTTGTTTTCTGATTTTAAATCATGTAAAAGTTTCTGTCACCTATTGCAGCATCACCACGATTTGTATCTTTGAGCATTGATCTCTGAGAAGGAGAGCATATTCTCATTTAGCGGGAATCCTCTTGAAACACATCTTAAGTCACCCAGTCCAGTCCCACTCCACATCAATAAAGCACTGATCGTGCTGAAAAGGCACATACAGCCTGAAAAGATTACTCATGCCAAGGTCCCAAAATATCTGCCCCGTGACCTCAAACAGCCACCTGAAAGCAGTAGGTTCCTACATGACTGTCTATATACCATATATGCCAGACAGCACATGAAAAGTATTTAAAATAAAGAATATGAGACTTCAAGCATGCTGGAGTGCAACTGCAGTACATTTGGAAGGGCTGATTGTCATTGCTCTTCAGCTCTTGCACATACCGTTGGCTGCAGAAAGAAGCTTTGAGGAGTAATTCTTACATTTAGGCCAAATTCAGTCCTACTTGCGGTACAATTTAGGGAAGGCCAAGGAACCGATGACAATCGAACCCTCTAATTCCACCCCTTGTTTGTAGCACTCCTGTCTCAACAAGCCCCATCAAAGGCTAGGGGTGAGATACCGCATGCAGCTGTATCTCATCTGGGCTGACAGACCAGCAAGGCAGGAATACAGATCACACTCTTGGTGATCCACTGGGCAGTCACATACAATTTGAATGGTGTAAATATTGCCACCAACCGCAGAGCAGCAGTGCCCCAGCTTTAGCATGCCATCCAAACCAGCACCCTCCCAGTTCCGCCAGTCATGCTGACATGAACTGCTGCAGCTCCATTTTTTTTCTTTAACCTCCTGTACCAATGGATTAACTGAATGGCAGCCAACAGCTCTTCAAAGTCTCAGCCACCCATTGCATATACTCATACCAGAAAACAATTCAAAATCTGCAGGAGTTTTTCCCGCCTTCTTGGCTTTCTACATCCACCTGTGACCCCCCTGGCCCTGCCTCCTGACTCACAGCAGATGAACTCCTGACACCAGCAGCATCAACTCCAGCCCAACTACAAGGTAGCCAAACAAAACGTCCACTCACCTGTAGACAGCACGAACATAATCTGAGTCCTTATTCTCCTGAGCACATACATTCTTGCCCATCGCCGTTTCTAGGTGGAGGAAGTCACCAACGGTTCACGAGTGCAAAGTGAAATGCAGAGTCCCTGTACCCAGTAAGTTACCACCGCTCCCAGGTTCTGACTGCCACCACACCATCCCTTCAACAGGCGAATGCACACATCCCTTTCCAGGTGATGGGCTTGCTTTACATTTCCACGCCCAAGAACCCTGCTCCTCACCACAACCTCACTTCAGACTGCTACCTCTGCCCTGTCCATCCCACAAACTCACCTGCTCAGACACATGCAAGACACTCTAGGAGAAACGATGGCCTTGGGAGGACGGAAATGCTTTCACACAGTATGAAGGGACATTTCTCTTCAACCAGCTCCTCACACAACACGGCACAGCTGTACTCACGAGCCTCTGCGACATTCACAGCCCCACTACAATAACCGCAGAGGACTTACCACAGATGATATCAAGGGCACACAGAGTGATGTCCAGAAAGACATCAAATGGTTCCTTGTCAACATGCTTCTCAAGTTTCTCCAGCAAAATACCTCCTTGTTCATTCATAACATCTAGAAAGTCAGTTAAGATTGTGAAGTGGAACGTGGGAGTTATCATCTTCCTCCGCGACCGCCACTTCTCTCCAGTGCTGCAAAATTAACAGGGAGAAGGAAGGGTTAAAACCTCCAAGTCAAAGATAAAACCCTCACTATCACAGAAGTACACAGTAAAAACTACAGCCTGGAACCCCTTCACAGGTGGACAAGCTGTAGATGACTCTTCAAGCTGTCCATAGCACTCCCCAGAAGCAGCAAAATGGAAATATTTCTTGCTCCAGCCCTCTCCAAAGCACAAGCCACCATTTCTATAGCTGTTCTCAACAAAAGGAGATGCTGACAAGCCTTCTGGCAATACAGCCTCGTGGTTGCTCAGTGCACTGGCTCAGAGGGGTCAAGCAGAAGCCATACATAGGACAAACCAGCTGGTCAGCATCATGGCCTCAACTTGTCACACTGTCTCTGTGAATCACCACCCATGCTCGCCTTCACCCGCTGACTAGGAAACGAGGATTCCAGAGAACTAGGGTCCATGCACATTATGCAAACAACTGCCTCGAGGTCTGGCTACAAAACTCTTCCTCGGAGACAGGCAACCACCCCCCACATGACAGTGAAAGAGCACGGAGCCAAGGCGGGTGACACCAGCTTCCGGGGGGGGGGGGTTGTTTGCCTTTTCTGAATCACGTGCCCAACAGGGACACAGCTGGCAGCTCTGCTTACAGCGTAAGCCATCACACCACTTTTCCTGATAACCTGCTATTGGGGCACTCCTCAGGTCAGCTTATTTGCTTGCTGTCTACCACTACTGTCCTTAAGCAGCAGAGACTGGAACATTCTCCTCCATTACGTTTTTGCAAGAACAAGGAAGTCAAAATGCCTCTAGAAGTTTACTGGAGACAAAACAACCGGTAAGGAAGAAGACGAACAGTGAGGATACACCATGCCTGACACACATGGTCCTCAACTCTCCGCACTTTGCTACCGATTACTGCCTTCTTAAGGGCCATGAATGAAACTCTGGATAAAAGGCATTCCTCAGTCTCTCACATAAACTTGTGCCTCCCACATCACATGATGATAGTTGGCTTTTATGACACTATGGTGCCATCCTGAAGCAGAAGGAGTTAACCTCTGAGGGCTCCAAACAGGCAACAAACCTTCACTGCTAACAGAAGGACCTTGACCTGCTCATGAAAACACAGAAGGGGCACAAAAGCACCAGAGCCGCTCTACGCCCACCTTACTCTGACTCTTGAACATCTGCATCATCCAGACCAAACCTTTCTTGGCCGTTCTAAGACCGGAGGACACCAAACCCTTACATCACTGCTCTCTACAGCTACCTGAAAGGAGGCTGTAGTGAGGCAGGTGTTGGTCTCTTCTCCCAAGTAACTAGTGATAGGATGAGAGGCAATGGCCTCAAGTTGCGTCAGGGGAGATTTAGGCTGGATATTAGGAAAAATGTCTTTACTGAAAGAGTGGTCAGACATTGGAAGAGGCTGCCCAGGGAAGTGGTGGAGTCACCATCCCTGGAGGTGTTCAAAAAAGTGTAGATGTGGCACTTCAGGACATGGTTTAGTAGGCATGGTGGTGTTGGGGTGACAGTTGGACTTGATCATCTTAGAGGTCTTTTCCAGCCTATGATTCTATGATTCCTCCCTCTCTCCACTCCCGACTTGTTCTCTTAGCCAGGCTCACCTCTTATGAGCCTCTAACTCCTGAGGGAAATGAAGGACAGGGCGCAGATACTCTCCCGTCCTACCCCAAAGCATCACCAGCCTCAGGCCCACCCAACTGGTTTGCAGCATCACCAGCTGAGACAAGCAATGCACACAGTCACGGCTCTGCCACAGTCCAGCCACTCGACACACAGCACCACATTCGAAACATCCAGCTTGCAGCACTGCAGGCTAAATCACGCCACTTGCCACAGGATACGACTGCCCAAAACTAACATTCATTTCCAGCCTCCTGACAAAAAATTAACAACAGCCAAATTTGCCAAGAAATGGATAATGCCAAAGCCATTCTATGATTCAAAAGATTTTTATTGGACTTTAGCTGCTAGAGAGTAACCAAGACTGTCTTAAGGAATAAGAATTCTACAGCTATTATCCACATCTCTGTGCAGAGATACAAAAGGCCTTCCTGCCCCTCTTGCTATCGTATCCCCCGAATATTTCAAAAAGACAGCGATGCACCTGCATTTCACTCTACCTCGTCAGAAGTCCAGTGCCCAGCCACGGCTGCAGGAATTTGTACAGGTATGATTTTTCTATATGTTTCGAACTGCTCAGAATAGCCTGTCACAAAAATGAAAGGAGGGGGAAAAGCATCACTTATTAGATGGAGAGAGATTTCTTCAGCTGAGATTACTCCACACCACCTCAGCTCCTCCACAAAAGTGCTCCGAGCCCCAGTAAAGTGCACAATATTTCAGTACAAGCTGGTGCGCAGGGGGAACACTGAGTTCACATCCTCAAGTCTTTTAGTAAATATCCCAATCCTGAGAAACAACAAAATACTCAAAAAATACCACTCCCCCTCCCCTTTAATCTTCCTGATAAAAGAAAAATCTGTGTTACAAAGTCACAGGCAGAGCTGAGAGAAAACCCAGCAGGTTCCAGCCTTAACCAAACTCACAAATACCATCTCCGCAATAAACACTCGAACAAAGAAACAACTCTCTCTTCCCAGTTCAGGGACAACCATTGTCAGTAGCAAAACTAACAACCCCATTTCATGGCATCGAGACAAACCCATCAAGTTCCAGTGCAGAAGCCAGTCCGACAGACCCCAGCATTGCAACCTGCGTTTCACAACGTTCTGCCCCTGTTTCAGTGGTCCCATCTCCCCTGCTATCTGCTCAACTGCTCTGATCTTCGGAGCAGAAGCTTTCACACATGTGAAAACAAAGCTGAAGGAGATGCTTCTTTGACCCGCCTGGACAAGGTCCTGTGCAGCCTGCTGTAGGTGACCCTGCTTCAGCAGGTGGTTGGACTAGATGATCCCCAGAGGTCCCTTCCAACCCCCACCATTCTGTGATTCTGTATCAAACACACTGAGTTGATGCTTTCATTTGCCGGCCATCTTCAGTATTTCTTTTTTTTCCAAGACTAAGCTTTTTCTATTGTTCCACTTTCAACCTTTCTTTAGCACGGAGTCAGAGGACAGTCTCAAGTAAAATCAGTCCATGCCTTTTTCTGCAAAAATTACCTTGAAAGGATAGAAACTAAACAGGTTGAGCACTGCTTTGCATGGCAGTAGAACAGGCAGGAGACAAGCACACTCACCTCCACGCTGTCAGGGTGATACAAAATCAGGAGAGGCAATGGTCCTATCCAAAGTTTGAACAACGGCCAGCTCCTGAACTCTTCAATGTGAGTTTGTAGCTGTTTAAAAAAACCTGGAATGAAATCAGCAGATTAGAATTTTTAAAAAAGGTTTTTTTGCTGAATAAGCAAGACTTCTGTAATGAACTGTTTTTCATCGTATGCCCTGTTATCACGTTTTTATTGCAGTTTTATCTTGCTACTACGACCAAGCAGCATTTTTTTGGACCTATGTATTAGCTCTACCGCAGGAGCATTGCTTTACGGCTACGCTCTTGAAGGCACTCTATTCTAGAGAGACCCCTCCTCGCTGTAGATGAGGCAGCGTGATTTCAGCAGTCCCAAAGCACTGCAGCACGGGCCTTCTGCATTGCGATGCTCTTCATGACAATCAGAGCCAAATCAAACTTTACCCAGGCTATGCTTAGGTTTGGGCTCATCTGACCCTAGCCAAAATACTGTATCAAGATGCTTCTTTACTTTCCAAGTACAGCACTGAGCCTTTTCCCACCTGAGCCCGCACTGACAGGTACTGCATCTGTGGTGCACCCACAAGCGATGTCGTGCACATTAACAGCAGAGCACCATGCAGGAACCAGTATCGCTTGACATACGCCCAGTTTCTAACAGCTGCACTCCTAAGAAATTCTTCGGAGCCCTTAGACTGTTGTTGTTTGTCTGCAAACAAATTACTTCTTACACCAACACGCTAACATGGTCTCACTCTCTCACAGCCCTAACCAGTAGTGACAGTTTGCAGCTCCAGCAGGGGCTTTTGACAGCTGGCTACTCCAGGATTAAACTCCGCTCTTGTCCTTTTAGAAACCTTACTGAAGGGTAGGTGACCACTTACGGGGCCACTGTGGATCTGGCAATTCAGATGTCCCCATCTCAAAGGGCACAATGACTCATAAGATTATTTATGGCAAAGATCACTTGAGCGATACCACTATCATCCTCCTGCCAGACGCACTTGGTACCAGCAAGCTCAGCAACCCAGCCAGTTCTCCATCCACGTTATTCTCCACTTATCCAGTCCAGTTCTCCCCAGGTCAGTTATACAGAAAGCACAGCAGATGGCATCAAAGACCCCACTGAATCAAATTAAACACCGTCTGCTGTTATTCCCTTGCTCACAGATCCAGTTACCTCCTCACAGAGGGCAATCGGGTTCATCCTGCAGTTCTGAAGGAGGTGGCCGCTATCAGGATGTTCAAGGATTAAACATGCCTTTGCCCTTTCAGAAACCAGATTAAACAATAAATGACTCCCTCCGAGGCCTCTGCAGAGTTGAAAATTCAAAGGTTCCCAAACCAAAGGGAAAGACAAGTGGAAAAAACACTAGTTTCCTAACAGACACCCAAATACTGAATTCCTTAATCTTAGATCAATTTCTAATGACAATGCATCCAAAAGGTTTAAGAGTGTCACATTGTTCTTATATTTTTTACTACTTTTTTTGTAACATCACGATTAAAATACCACAATCTTCCAGCATTTGTCTACTGATATCAATAAATATACAAAATAACAATCCGATGAAAAGACATTTTTCTTTCTGCTATAAAACCTCATCCTTTTTCCTAAAAGCTATCTTCTTTTTTTTGAATGGTCTCATTTTTAATGAAAAATATTATAAACCACAAACTTCACTCATTCTTACATCAACAAACAAAAACAAAGGCGGATGGTCACCGACATAACTAAAGCATGGAGGCTACGTGACTCCTGCTAACAAAGAAGATTATGAGATTCCACAAGACACAAAAGTCTCCATCATATTGCTTTCTGGAGAGAGAGAAGCAATGTGAGTCCAGCGGAGGGCTACAAGGATGATGAGGGGGCTGGAACATCTCCCATACGAGGAGAGGCTGAGGGAGCTGGGCTTGTTCAGCCTGAAGAAGAGAAGGCTGAGAGGGGACCTAATAAATGCTTATAAATATCTGAAGGGTGGGTGTCAGGAGGATGGGGCCAAGCTCTTTTCAGTGGTGCCCAG